ACGCGGTTCACACAAGGGCTTCGGACGAGAGAAAGGCGGCTCACACAAGGGCTTCGGACGAGAGTAACGCGGTTCACACAAGGGCTTCGGAGGAGAGTAAACGCGGCTCACACAAGGGCTTCGGACGAGAGAAAGGCGACTCACACAAGGGCTTCGGACGAGAAAAAGGCGGCTCACACAAGGGCTTCGGACGAGAGTAAGGCGGCTCACACAAGGGCTTCGGACGAGAGTATCGCGGCTCACATAAGGGCTTCGGACGAGAGAAAGGCGACTCACACAAGGGCTTCGGACGAGAGTAACGCGGCTCACACAAGGGCTTCGGACGAGAGTAACGCGGCTCACACAAGGGCTTCGGACGAGAGAAAGGCGACTCACACAAGGGCTTCGGACGAGAGTAACGCGGTTCACACAAGGGCTTAGGACGAGAGAAAGGCGGCTCATACAAGGGCTTCGGACGAGAGTAACGCGGTTCACACAAGGGCTTCGGACGAGAGAAAGGCGGCTCATACAAGGGCTTCGGACGAGAGTAACGCGGTTCACACAAGGGCTTAGGACGAGAGAAAGGCGGCTCGCACAAGGGCTTAGGACGAGAGCAACGCGGCTCACACAAGGGCTTAGGACGAGAGTAACGCGGCTCACACAAGGGCTTAGGACGAGAGAAAGGCGGCTCACACAAGGGCTTCGGACGAGAGCAACGCGGCTCACACAAGGGCTTCGGACGAGAGAAAGGCGGCTCACACAAGGGCTTCGGACGAGAGTAACGCGGCTCATACAAGGGCTTAGGAAGAGAGAAAGGCGACTCACACAAGGGCTTAGGACGAGAGCAACGCGGCTCACACAAGGGCTTAGGACGAGAAAAAGGCGGCTCACACAAGAGCTTAGGACGAGAGTAACGCGACTCACACAAGGGCTTCGGACGAGAGTAACGCGGCTCACACAAGGGCTTCGGACGAGAGTAACGCGGCTCACACAAGGGCTTCGGACGAGAAAAAGGCGACTCACACAAGGGCTTAGGACGAGAGAAAGGCGGCTCACACAAGAGCTTATGACGAGAGCAACGCGGCTCACACAAGGACTTAGGACGAGAAAAAGGCGGCTCACACAAGGGCTTCGGACGAGAGTAACGCGGCTCACACAAGGGCTTAGGACGAGAAAAAGGCGGCTCACACAAGAGCTTAGGACGAAAGTAACACGGCTCACACAAGGGCTTAGGACGAGAGTAACGCGGCTCACACAAGGGCTTCGGACGAGAGTAACGCGGCTCACACAAGGGCTTCGGACGAGAGTAACGCGGCTCACACAAGGGCTTCGGACGAGAGAAAGGCGGCTCACACAAGGGCTTCGGACGAGAGTAACGCGGCTCACACAAGGGCTTCGGACGAGAGTAACGCGGTTCACACAAGGGCTTCGGACGAGAGAAAGGCGACTCACACAAGGGCTTCGGACGAGAGTAACGCGGCTCACACAATAATAATGATAATGATAATAATAATAGTAAATATAATGATAGTAATATTGATAAATATGATGATAATAATAATGGTAATGACATTAGACCTATCACAACATACAACATATCACAATTTACACATATTAATTTGGAAATTAATTAATTAATTAATTAGAAAATAATAATGATAATAGTACTGTTATTAATGATAACAACAATGCAATTACTACTGCCTCTAATACTACTAATGATAATGATAACAGTAATGTTAATAATCGTCATAATTAGGATAATGATAATTAAAAGGATAACACAAATGAGGATAATAATGACAATAATACTAATAATTATGATAACAAAAAAAAACAATAACAACATCAATAATGATAATAATAATGACAGTAACGGTGATAATAATGATAATAACAATGATAACAATATTAATAATAATGATAATAATAATGATTGTGCTAATAATAATAACATTGATATTAAAGTTAATAATGATAATAATAACAATAATATTAATAATACAATAACATTATCATCATAATATTCTAATAATTATTATTACTATTGTTATTATCAGTGTTATTATTATTGATGTTATTATTTTCATTATTACTTTCATTATTATTAGTTTTATCATTATCGTTATTTTTATTTCCATTATTATTCTTATAATTATTGCTATGGTTACCATTATCATTACTATTATCATCATTATTATTGTTAGGCTAGGTAAGGTTAGGTTAGGTTAAGTTAGGTTAGGTTAGCTTTTGTTAGATTAGGTTAGCTTTGGTACCTCTCTCTCTCTCTCTCTCTCTCTTGTAATGGGGTTTTTATCCTAAGTATTATCAGCATTTTCATTATACTATTTTATTCATTCATAATGAATGTAATAATAACAGTGAAATAATGATGATAATAGTACTGAAATTAATAATAACAACAACAATACAACTACAACTACCTCTACTACTACTAATGATAATAATAACAGTAATGTTGATAATAGTTATAGTAATGATGATTACAATGATAACACTAATGATGATAATACTAGTAATTACGATAACAACAACAATAGCAATGCTAATAATAACAATAATAACGATGATAAGAATGATAATAACAATAATAACAATAATAACGATGATAATAATGATTTATTATTTTCATTATTACTTTCATTATTATTAGTTTTATCATTATCGTTATTTTTATTTCCATTATTATTCTTATAATTATTGCTATGGTTACCATTATCATTACTATCATTATCATTATTATTGTTAGGCTAGGTAAGGTTAGGTTAGGTGAAGTTAGGTTAGGTTAGCTTTTGTTAGATTAGGTTAGCTTTGGTACCTCTCTCTCTCTCTCTCTCTCTCTTGTAATAGGGTTTTTATCCTAAGTATTATCAGCATTTTCATTATACTATTTTATTCATTCATAATGAATGTAATAATAACAGTGAAATAATGATGATAATAGTACTGAAATTAATAATAACAACAACAATACAACTACAACTACCTCTACTACTACTAATGATAATAATAACAGTAATGTTGATAATAGTTATAGTAATGATGATTAAAATGATAACACTAATGATGATAATACTAGTAATTACGATAACAACAACAATAGTAATGCTAATAATAACAATAATAACGATGGTAATAATGATAATAACAATAATAATAATAATGATTATGACAATAATACTAACATTGATAATAAAGTTAATAACAACAATAATAATAATGATAATAATATAATGATAATAACAAAATAATAATAGTAATATAATGATGATAATAATAATAATAGTAATAATAATAATAATAATAACAGCAGTAATAATAATAATGAAAATGTTTATAGGCAAACTTTCATCCTAAACCGTCACTAATGAAAAGAAGAGAGTCGCTTTCTCTCGTCCTCAGCCCTTTTGGGTCTCCCCCCCCTCTCTTGCTCTCTCTTTCTCTCTTTCTCTCCCTCTCTGTGTCTCTCTTTCTTCCTCTCTCTTTGTCTCTCTTTCTCTCACTCTCTCTCCCTCTCTCTCTCTCTGTCTGTCTTTCTCTTTCTTTCTCTCTCTCTCTCCCTTTCTCTTTCTGTGCCTCTCTTTCTCTCTCTGTCTCTCTCTCTCTCTCTCTCTCTCTCTCTCTCTCTCTCTCTATTTCTTTCTCTCTCTCTCTCTCTGTCTCTCTTTATCTCTCTCTCCCTCTCTCTTTCTGTGCCTCTCTTTCTCTCTTTCTTTTTTTTTCTCTCTCTCTCTTTCTTTCTCTCTCTCTCTCTGTGTCTCTTTCTCTCTCTCTCCCTCTCTCTTTCTGTGCCTCTCTTTCTCTCTCCCTCTCTCTCTCGCTGTCTCTTTCTCTCTCTCTTATAAGGACGAGGGAAAGACCACACACACACACACACACACACACACACACATGCACACACACAAATACACGCACGCACGCATGTACGCACAGAATACACACACACACATATGTGTCTGTGTATGTGTGTGTGTGTTTGTTTGTGTGTGTGTGTGTGTTGTGTGTGTGGGCTCACAGACTTATAAAAACACATACACACACACATATATATATTTGTATGTATATACATAGACACTAACACACATACACACACACACACATACACGCGCGCATATATATATATATATATATATATATATATATATATATATATATATATATATATATATATATATATATATATATATATATATATATATATATATATACACACACAGAAACACACTCATATCTATACATATATGTATATATGTTACACACACACATACACACACACACACATATGTATATATGTATATATATATATATATATATATATATATATATATATATATATATATATATATATATATATATATATATATATATATGTATATATATATGTGTGTGTGTGTGTGTGTGTGTGTGTGTGTGTATGTGTGTGTGTGTGTGTGTGTGTGTGTGTGTGTGTGTGTGTGTGTATGTGTGTTTGTGTGTGTGTGCGTGTGTGCATGCGTGCGTGCGTGCGTTTGTGTGTGTGTGGGCTCACAGACTTGCCTATAGATACAAATACACACACATAAAAAACACACATACAAGCGAACACATACCTGCGCACACACGCACATGCACATGTGAGCAGGCCCGGCCTCGCCTTCCTTCCCGCCAGCGCGCCTTGGACCTGCAGCGGCCGCGTCTCCCGAGGGCTAGCATTCGCATCCACGAAGTCGCCTCGCAGTCCCAGGCATGGAGATCCAGGAGCAATTGCAAGGCTTGCAACTGGAGCAGTTCGAAGCGCCGAGAGAGGAAGAAGCGAAGGGGGGGATAAAGGGGGAAGAGGGAAAAATAGAAGAGGAGGAAGTATAACAAGAAACGGAGGAAAAGGAAGAACAACAAGAAATGGAGGAGGAGGGAGAAGCACAAGCAGAATATAAAGAGACGGATATCACGGAGTATGTCTTAGAAGAATCTTTCGACATCTTTTTCGAAGAAGATGACCCAAGTCCCCACGTGAAGGTCATGCTGTTTGATGAGTGCGTCACCTGTTTGATTGCCACAGGCGCTGCCCAAAGTCACATATCGCGCGAGTTTGCGAAAACCCTGAACGTTGAAATTCACTGTGATCGCAAGGGAGTCGAGTATATAGATGGTCTACTTCAATTTAGGGAAGCAAGCTTGTTGACGCCTTTCATGCTTTGTAAGAACCGTAAAAATATATTAGGTTTGTATGAATTTAAATTATTTTGCTGTGTCATTGACATGGCTGCCAGCAAACTGACTTTTCGAAAATACACCCAGATAAGGAATATGGAGCCTCTACTATATCCAGTCCAAATCAACGGCCATGATATCGAAGTGTGTCTCGACACGGGTTACACTGGCACCATGAGTGGATAAGTGCACCACGCGGAAAAGCTCGGCCTGACCCTGGAAGAAGTTTCCGAGCATAAGAAGTCATCGAGGGTGTAGAAGAAGACGGCATTATTAAATATGTGGCACGCCATGTTCCACTGGTAATTTTGGGAAGGGAACACCGAGGCTCTGACCCAGGGGGCGGGGAGGCTCTGACCCAGGAGGCGGAGAGGCTCTGACCCAGGGGGCGGGGAGGCTCTGACCCAGGGGGCGGGGAGGCTCTGACCCAGGGGGCGAAGAGGCTCTGACCCAGGGGGCGGGGAGGCTCTGACCCAGGGGGCGAAGAGGCTCTGACCCAGGGGGCGGGGAGGCTCTGACCCAGGGGGCGAAGAGGCTCTGACCCAGGGGGCGGGGAGGCTCTGACCCAGGGGGCGGGGAGGCTCTGACCCAGGGGGCGAAGAGGCTCTGACCCAGGGGGCGGGGAGGCTCTGACCCAGGGGGCGAAGAGGCTCTGACCCAGGGGGCGGGGAGGCTCTGACCCAGGGGGCGAAGAGGCTCTGACCCAGGGGGCGGGGAGGCTCTGACCCAGGGGGCGGGGAGGCTCTGACCCAGGGGGCGAAGAGGCTCTGACCCAGGGGGCGGGGAGGCTCTGACCCAGGGGGCGGGGAGACTCTGACCCAGGGGGCGAAGAGGCTCTGACCCAGGGGGCGGGGAGGCTCTGACCCAGGGGGCGGGGAGGCTCTGACCCAGGGGGCGAAGAGGCTCTGACCCAGGGGGCGGGGAGGCTCTGACACAGGGGGCGAAGAGGCTCTGACCCAGGGGGCGGGGAGGCTCTGACACAGGGGGCGGGGAGGCTCTGACCCAGGGGGCGGGGAGGCTCTGACCCAGGGGGCGAAGAGGCTCTGACCCAGGGGGCGGGGAGGCTCTGACCCAGGGGGCGAAGAGGCTCTGACCCAGGGGGCGGGGAGGCTCTGACCCAGGGGGCGAAGAGGCTCTGACCCAGGGGGCGGGGAGGCTCTGACCCAGGGGGCGAAGAGGCTCTGACCCAGGGGGCGGGGAGGCTCTGACACAGGGGGCGAAGAGGCTCTGACCCAGGGGGCGGGGAGGCTCTGACCCAGGGGGCGGGGAGGCTCTGACCCAGGGGGCGAAGAGGCTCTGACCCAGGGGGCGGGGAGGCTCTGACCCAGGGGGCGGGGAGGCTCTGACCCAGGGGGCGGGGAGGCTCTGACCCAGGGGGCGAAGAGGCTCTGACCCAGGGGGCGGGGAGGCTCTGACCCAGGGGGCGAAGAGGCTCTGACCCAGGGGGCGAAGAGGCTCTGACCCAGGGGGCGAAGAGGCTCTGACCCAGGGGGCGGGGAGGCTCTGACCCAGGGGGCGGGGAGGCTCTGACCCAGGGGGCGAAGAGGCTCTGACCCAGGGGGCGGGGAGGCTCTGACCCAGGGGGCGAAGAGGCTCTGACCCAGGGGGCGGGGAGGCTCTGACCCAGGGGGCGAAGAGGCTCTGACCCAGGGGGCGAAGAGGCTCTGACCCAGGGGGCGAAGAGGCTCTGACCCAGGGGGCGAAGAGGCTCTGACCCAGGGGGCGGGGAGGCTCTGACCCAGGGGGCGGGGAGGCTCTGACCCAGGGGGCGGGGAGGCTCTGACCCAGGGGGCGAAGAGGCTCTGACCCAGGGGGCGAAGAGGCTCTGACCCAGGGGGCGGGGAGGCTCTGACCCAGGGGGCGAAGAGGCTCTGACCCAGGGGGCGAAGAGGCTCTGACCCAGGGGGCGGGGAGGCTCTGACCCAGGGGGCGAAGAGGCTCTGACCCAGGGGGCGGGGAGGCTCTGACCCAGGGGGCGAAGAGGCTCTGACCCAGGGGGCGGGGAGGCTCTGACCCAGGGGGCGAAGAGGCTCTGACCCAGGGGGCGGGGAGGCTCTGACCCAGGGGGCGAAGAGGCTCTGACCCAGGGGGCGAAGAGGCTCTGACCCAGGGGGCGGGGAGGCTCTGACCCAGGGGCGGGGAGGCTCTGACCCAGGGGGCGGGGAGGCTCTGACCCAGGGGGCGAAGAGGCTCTGACCCAGGGGGCGGGGAGGCTCTGACCCAGGGGGCGGGGAGGCTCTGACACAGGGGGCGAAGAGGCTCTGACCCAGGGGGCGGGGAGGCTCTGACCCAGGGGGCGGGGAGGCTCTGACCCAGGGGGCGAAGAGGCTCTGACCCAGGGGGCGAAGAGGCTCTGACCCAGGGGGCGGGGAGGCTCTGACCCAGGGGGCGGGGAGGCTCTGACCCAGGGGGCGGGGAGGCTCTGACCCAGGGGGCGAAGAGGCTCTGACCCAGGGGGCGGGGAGGCTCTGACCCAGGGGGCGGGGAGGCTCTGACCCAGGGGGCGAAGAGGCTCTGACCCAGGGGGCGGGGAGGCTCTGACCCAGGGGGCGGGGAGGCTCTGACCCAGGGGGCGAAGAGGCTCTGACCCAGGGGGCGAAGAGGCTCTGACCCAGGGGGCGGGGAGGCTCTGACCCAGGGGGCGAAGAGGCTCTGACCCAGGGGGCGAAGAGGCTCTGACCCAGGGGGCGAAGAGGCTCTGACCCAGGGGGCGGGGAGGCTCTGACCCAGGGGGCGAAGAGGCTCTGACCCAGGGGGCGGGGAGGCTCTGACCCAGGGGGCGAAGAGGCTCTGACCCAGGGGGCGAAGAGGCTCTGACCCAGGGGGCGAAGAGGCTCTGACCCAGGGGGCGGGGAGGCTCTGACCCAGGGGGCGAAGAGGCTCTGACCCAGGGGGCGGGGAGGCTCTGACCCAGGGGGCGAAGAGGCTCTGACCCAGGGGGCGAAGAGGCTCTGACCCAGGGGGCGAAGAGGCTCTGACCCAGGGGGCGGGGAGGCTCTGACCCAGGGGGCGAAGAGGCTCTGACCCAGGGGGCGGGGAGGCTCTGACCCAGGGGGCGAAGAGGCTCTGACCCAGGGGGCGGGGAGGCTCTGACCCAGGGGGCGAAGAGGCTCTGACCCAGGGGGCGAAGAGGCTCTGACCCAGGGGGCGAAGAGGCTCTGACCCAGGGGGCGGGGAGGCTCTGACCCAGGGGGCGAAGAGGCTCTGACCCAGGGGGCGGGGAGGCTCTGACCCAGGGGGCGAAGAGGCTCTGACCCAGGGGGCGGGGAGGCTCTGACCCAGGGGGCGGGGAGGCTCTGACCCAGGGGGCGAAGAGGCTCTGACCCAGGGGGCGAAGAGGCTCTGACCCAGGGGGCGAAGAGGCTCTGACCCAGGGGGCGGGGAGGCTCTGACCCAGGGGGCGAAGAGGCTCTGACCCAGGGGGCGAAGAGGCTCTGACCCAGGGGGCGAAGAGGCTCTGACCCAGGGGGCGGGGAGGCTCTGACCCAGGGGGCGAAGAGGCTCTGACCCAGGGGGCGGGGAGGCTCTGACCCAGGGGGCGAAGAGGCTCTGACCCAGGGGGCGAAGAGGCTCTGACCCAGGGGGCGGGGAGGCTCTGACCCAGGGGGCGAAGAGGCTCTGACCCAGGGGGCGGGGAGGCTCTGACCCAGGGGGCGAAGAGGCTCTGACCCAGGGGGCGGGGAGGCTCTGACCCAGGGGGCGAAGAGGCTCTGACCCAGGGGGCGAAGAGGCTCTGACCCAGGGGGCGGGGAGGCTCTGACCCAGGGGGCGAAGAGGCTCTGACCCAGGGGGCGGGGAGGCTCTGACCCAGGGGGCGAAGAGGCTCTGACCCAGGGGGCGGGGAGGCTCTGACCCAGGGGGCGGGGAGGCTCTGACCCAGGGGGCGAAGAGGCTCTGACCCAGGGGGCGGGGAGGCTCTGACCCAGGGGGCGAAGAGGCTCTGACCCAGGGGGCGGGGAGGCTCTGACCCAGGGGGCGAAGAGGCTCTGACCCAGGGGGCGGGGAGGCTCTGACCCAGGGGGCGAAGAGGCTCTGACCCAGGGGGCGGGGAGGCTCTGACCCAGGGGGCGAAGAGGCTCTGACCCAGGGGGCGGGGAGGCTCTGACCCAGGGGGCGAAGAGGCTCTGACCCAGGGGGCGGGGAGGCTCTGACCCAGGGGGCGAAGAGGCTCTGACCCAGGGGGCGGGGAGGCTCTGACCCAGGGGGCGAAGAGGCTCTGACCCAGGGGGCGGGGAGGCTCTGACCCAGGGGGCGAAGAGGCTCTGACCCAGGGGGCGGGGAGGCTCTGACCCAGGGGGCGAAGAGGCTCTGACCCAGGGGGCGGGGAGGCTCTGACCCAGGGGGCGAAGAGGCTCTGACCCAGGGGGCGGGGAGGCTCTGACACAGGGGGCGAAGAGGCTCTGACCCAGGGGGCGAAGAGGCTCTGACCCAGGGGGCGAAGAGGCTCTGACCCAGGGGGCGGGAGGCTCTGACCCAGGGGGCGAAGAGGCTCTGACCCAGGGGGCGGGGAGGCTCTGACCCAGGGGGCGAAGAGGCTCTGACCCAGGGGGCGGGGAGGCTCTGACCCAGGGGGCGAAGAGGCTCTGACCCAGGGGGCGGGGAGGCTCTGACACAGGGGGCGAAGAGGCTCTGACCCAGGGGGCGAAGAGGCTTTGACCCAGGGGGCGAAGAGGCTCTGACCCAGGGGGCGGGGAGGCTCTGACCCAGGGGGCGAAGAGGCTCTGACCCAGGGGGCGGGGAGGCTCTGACCCAGGGGGCGGGGAGGCTCTGACCCAGGGGGCGAAGAGGCTCTGACCCAGGGGGCGAAGAG